AGGGAGGGAGGGATCCCATGGCACTACACGACGAATACAGCCCAGAAAAGCTTTGAGGAATGTTTTACAGAACACACACACATAAAGTTGTATCAAACACCATCACAAACCCCAAACTGGTCTGCAGGTCCCCCACCTCACGCATTCAGCAGCAATGAACTGAGAATTCAGTCACTGMCCACCCCAAATCCTTTCAGGACATAACACCCTATTCTGGCTCATACTCCTCATTCCTGAGGAATTCTCTTCCTAGGAACAGCTTCTATCTACTTGTTTGGGTTATTTTATAAGACTTAGAGAAAAGCTCTGACAGATGGAATGAGGAAAATGAATGTAGAACCCACATAAATTATCCAGTAGCCAACCAGGAAGGAAATATTGGGGTATGGGGTTTTTTTTGGTGCTGCACTGGTCCCTAGAGAAGCTGCTGCTGCAGGGTGTCATTGCAAGTGGGATCACAACAGCCCTAACTAAAACAAAATAGACAAGGAATCAGGATGTTTGTGCTCAGAGTTCTCCAGGGACTGGTCCTGCAGCCCCGGAGCAACTGAGAGTTCTGGCAGGGAGAGGGGAGCTGTGCTGGACTCTTTGTGGAGCCATTTCATGGCATGAAATCCAAAGATTATTGACAGAAAGCCAAACTTGGGTGTCACCCCAAGCACATGATGCCTAGTATGAAACTGGGCTTTGGGAGAGGTTCCCAGAGACCTGGGGCCTCCATCCCTGGGGACTGCTGTGAGTGGAAGCGGGGCTGAAGACCCCCAAGCTCCCTCTGCATCCCCCAGTCCCAGAGCTGGTGATCCCCTGCCCTGCTGGGAATTTGGGAAGGAGTCAGAGGAGCCCCATCTGTCTGGGTTTGCAGTGAGGGCGCTGGAGACATGCACAGTTGTGTTCCCTGAGGGACACGGGCAGTTGTGTTCCCTGGGAACCCTGACAGAGCCTCTGTGCTCAGTTCCTGTGCAGCTCCCGAATTTATCCTCCCTTTAATCCCCCGGTGCATTRTCCTCTCTCCAGCATCGGGGCCAGTGCTGGACACGGACCCAGACAGCAAAGTCTGTCCCACCCCAAGGGCACTCAGACAATCCCAGCGCAGAGCTCGCCAAACTGCCACATCTGCTTTGGGTTTGGGGGGTGGAGGGTCATGTTCTCACAGTGCTGTGGACATGCAAACCCCTCCAAAGGCTGAGCGGGCCCTCGGGACTCACAACAAAGCAGCAATGAGAAATAAAAGGGAGCAAAATGTGCCACAAACATCTTTCCATAGCCTTCATACTGGGTTCTGGTGTGGGGGTGAGCAGCATTAATGGCTCAGTCTCAGCCCTGCTTGGCAGGAGCCTCCTCCCCTCCCCTCCCCAGTACCTCTGTCCAGGCAGAGATGCCCCACAAGCAGCCTCTCCTGCAGCCGGAACAGCGCCAGCTCCTGCAGACTGGCCCTCTCCAGCTCAGACAGGCTCTGCAGGGCCATGGGCTGCATCCCGGGGCTGGGGCCTGGCACAGCCCCCGAGCCAAAGGTTCCCTGGAAAACACACCTGTGTGAAAGGAACACACAGCAGCGATATTTGCTTTAGGAGAGAAACTGCTGGGAACACCCCAGGGAGCCTTTGCAGGAGACACTTGTCCCTCTGTCACCTCTCAGCAGAGCCAGTGCAGCTGCACATGCCCCAACAACATCATCTCACTTTGATCTTCCAAGCAAAGGCCTTGGAAGCATCAGGGGAAGAGATTTAGATTTGAGATTGTGGAGGAATTGTTCCCTGGGAGGGTGGGGAGGCCCTGGCACAGGGTGCCCAGAGAAGCTGTGGCTGCCCCTGGATCCCTGGCAGTGTCCAAGGCCAGGCTGGACATTGGGGCTGGGAGCAGCCTGGGATAGTGGAAGGTGTTTCTGCATGGAATGAGAGGGACTTTAAGGTCCCTCCCAGCCCGAGCAATTCCACCATTCCATGAKTCATCTCCTTTGAATCATAAAGAGCTGCACGTGACCAGAGGTGCCCAAGCCTTTGCCCCTGGCAAGAGCTGGAAGACAGCCTGTGAACACACCCTGGGCACCCCATCCCCTCTCCAAGAGCTTTAGGGAGCCCTCCCTGCTGCAGGCTCTGGGGGAGCTGCACAGGGACTYGGTTCCTTACCCCACACCAACCTGGCTGCCTCCAGCTGGTGCCACCTCCTCCTGGTGCCACCTGTGCCACCACCCCTGCACCGCACCACCCAGCAAGGTCCAAAGAGCAGAAACAGCCCAGATGGAGAGGACTGAGGTCAGAGTTCTGTCTGTGGAAAGAGCCTCCACAAAGAGGCTTAAGGCAAGAATGAAAAATAAATGCCTGGAAATCTCCAGGGATAAGGGTGAGACCCCCAGGAATGGACAAGGCTCCTGTGTCAGTCCCACCCAGTGCTGCCACCCCGCTCCAGCCCCTGACACTGGTTCCCTCTGGCCAGGTTTGAAATTTCCATTTCTAAAGGTATTTAGAAAGTTACATAAATTAAAGAAGAAAACAAATGTAAAAGAGTAGTTCAGAGTTCCCTGTAAGGGCACACCAAAAAGGGAATTCAGCTACATCATAGAATCCTGCACTGGTTTGGGTAAGAGACCTCAAAAAGCATCTCATCCCACCCCCTGCCATGGACAGGGACACCTTCCACTGTCCCAGGCTGCTCCAAGCCCCATCCAACCTGGCCTTGAACACTTCCAGGGATCCAGGGACAGCCACAGCTTCTCTGGGCACCCTGTGTCAGGGCCTCACCATCCTCATAGGGAGGAATTCCTTCCCAAGATCCCACCTAATCCTGCCCTCTGATAAATTAAAATAGATGCAATACAGAGATTTTTATAACTTCCATCCTGCTCTTCTGGGACAGCCTGGGGCAGGTAACACCTCGGCTGTCACAGGTGAGAGCATCCCCACATGGCAATGGCAGCTCCTGCACCTCAGCTAC